AACTCTCTGAATGGTCAGGTTGACGATGAGAAGAGTCCCGGTTCTAGTCCAAACCCAAAACCAAAACAAGCTGGTGCAGTGAAAGCTAATGGAAGCATGAATTCATCAAGTAGCCATGAAAAGAAAGAGAAAGAGAAAGAGAAAGAAAAGGAAAAGGAAAAGCCTTGGGCCAAGGAAGAAATTGATCTCTTAAGAAAAGGTATGGTAAAATTTCCAAAAGGGACATCAAGGAGATGGGAGGTGATTTCCGAGTATATTGGTACTGGTAGATCAGTGGAAGAGATTCTGAAGGCTACAAAATCAGTTCTTCTTCAGAAGCCAGACTCTTCCAAGGCATTTGATTCGTTCCTTGAGAAAAGGAAACCAGCGGCAACTATTTCATCACCACTTAGTACTAGAGAAGAAGTCCAAGGTGTTCCAATTGTGAATGGGACTGATACTGGGTCTGCTGCTGGGGCTGATGCTAGTAGTTCAACAACCCCTACAGATACTCCAAATGCACCATCATCGACAGATAGCCCAGCTGCTTCTTCGGGATCATCTGACCCAGATGTGTGGTCTTCTGTTCAAGAGAGAGCTCTTGTTCAGGCCTTGAAAACGTTTCCTAAGGAAACACCTCAGCGTTGGGAGCGGGTTGCAACTGCTGTCCCTGGGAAAACTATGAATCAGTGCAAGAAGAAATTTGCTTCACTCAAGGAGACTTTCCGAAGCAAGAAAACTACTGGTTAGAACTTACCAAGTTGTTTGGTATCTATCTGATGCATCATCATCAACATAATTTTGGTCCAATATTTTTAGTTTTGCTGAGGGAAGCTACTTACGCTAGAGTGAGGATTCGTCACTTGGCAGATAGCGGTATTGGTACAAGCTGTAGTACGTATTTTTTTGACTGATTAAGCGATTCTTTTTTGTAAGGCCTATCCATCCATTAACTTACAGGTGACGCTGATCATATATTTATGCTTTCATTTTTTAAGTAACCATCAGATTAGTTATGTTTTCCAGTCGAGCTAAATTTGTCATTTTCTTTTTATTATTATTATACTTAATCATCATATGAAAAAGGTGCCATTTGCTCAAATTGCTCCGAGTTTGATCTTTGAGAGGAGCGAACGACAAAAGTTGAGTTATGGCATTAATATGCAGTATTGGAGTAAGTAAGAGTACTCAGCCTCCAGTGTTCATTGAGTAAAACATAAATACAGTCCTTGAAGTTTCGTATAAAAGCTGTTTTAGTCCCTCTTTAACTTTTTTCACCAATTTAGTCCCTCAACCACTCACTTTAGTGTTTTTCAGCCAAAAGTTGAGGGACTTTGCTGACTAAGCAAAAGTTGAGGGACCTTGACTCATCAAAAAAGTTGAGGGATGTTGAGTCACCAAAAAGTTTAGGGACTTGATGTTAGAATTTGTAATTTTTTTTTTCATGAATCTTCTTTTGCAAGCTTCATTTTTTTAAGGAGATGATTGACGACACGTGGCCCAATCGATGAGCATATAAGGGAAACGCTGCGTTTTGCAAATCAGTTACAATTGAACAAAAAAAATTAAAAAATTAAGCAGCTGTACTTTGGGAAACGTAAATCATCATTACTCTCAATTGGCGCGAGAAATCTAAAGGTTTCTGCCTTTTTATATACTCCACATCTCACTAGATTCCCTGTCATCATCATTTCCATTTTCAGCTAAAAAAAATTCGCCCTTCCTCGACGCCATTAATGTGGGAGTGTGCTTGCTAATCTTCAGCCAAGAAAGCGAAATTGGACCAGCTTGTATCACCGGCAGGTATATTCTTTGTTTTTGTCTTTTTCGTCTTAAATTTGTCTGTAATGGTGTGTTTTACAGAGTATATTCTGGGTTTTTCCTTTTTTGGGTGAATTTTTTGTTGTGATTTTTTCTGGTTTTTTTGTTGTCATCGTCTTGTATTTGCTTGTGTTTGGTGTTGATTGTGGTTGATTATCAAAATTGGGGTTTTTGTGGGTAGAAATTGTTGTCGATGGTTAGGATTTTGGTGTTTGTGAAACAGAGTAAGTTGTAAACCTGAGAAAGCCGGTGTCTAACTCCCTTAATTTGTTTAGGTATGGACGCCCTTTTCGATGCGCACCCAATTTTCAGCAACCCCGACTTGCTCGTCCTCCATGTCTTCCCCAAGCTTGATTGGGAGAGTCGGGACACTGTCAAGAAGGTTTGCAGTAAGTGGCGTCTGTGGTGGATGACACGCCACCTTGCCCGACTCGAACCCTTCTACGGACCCAGGACGTCTGTCAATGAGTGGATTCTGAATGATCTCATCTACAACGATGGGAGGGACTTCCACGCCTGGATCCACAACGACATGACCGTCTACTTCGACGGCTTTCCACTCCTCTTTGGGAAGGAGGAGGAGTAGGCTGTTGTTGGGGGGTTGGGGGTGGGCTCTGTGCAGCTAGTTGGTTTTTGGTTTTAGGAGCTGCTTTGTTAAGGTTTTTTTATGATTTTTTAGGTTTAAGGTTAAGGTAGGTTTTTGCCATTGTCATGGCTTGAAATGTATGAAGGGTGAGTGAATGTGACATACATTATGGTTTTTTTTGGGTATGTCACTGCTATGACAATGTATGCAGTGCTGAATCAGTTTCACTAGGCTTCATGTAGGGATATTGGATGATGTTAGTGTATGTAATGAAATGAAGCCTAGTGATTAATCTAATGTAAAGAAATATTTTGGAGTAATGAATGAAATGAATGATGTTGTTACTCTTACATTGATGTTTTTGCTATTTATCCTTATTTATTTTGCTTTGTTGATAATATATCATGCATGTTAAAGAATGTGTTCATGTGTTGGTAATGCCAGATTATGGACTTGAAACCATGTTTGGTTGTGCACCATGGTGGTGAATGGCAAATTGGTGAAGAATCTTTTTACATTGGTGGTAAAATTAATGTATATGAGGACATTCCTGAAAATGTTGATGCTGATTTTGTAAAGGGTTTAATTGATGGGTTGAGGTACACAGACATTTTTAAGATTCATTACTTAGATCCTAGGAAGGGTTTCAACTCTGGAATTAGGTACCTGTCATTTGAAAAGAAAATTGTTGATCCATTCCTTAGTTTACTTTTACAATACAAACTCATAAGAATATACACAGAGCACCAAGAACCTGAGAGGCCATTGTTTGGCAATTTAGGGAGAAGGGGTTTTTTTTTTTTAGTTACCTAACTAGAGAGGATGGAGAAGATTATGAGGCTGATGATGAACAACCTGAGGAAGTGCAGGCAGGTGCAGGTAACAATTTGGATGGAGTTTATGACACTATTCCTAGAAAGGAGAAAAAGGGAGACATAGACTATGCTAGTGAGGGTACTGATGTTGATGATGAAGAGGTTATGCAGGCTAGGTCTGAAATTGCTAAAGACAAGGACATTGTGATAGCATATGATGATGAGCTAAATATGTTAAGGAGGGTAGCTCAGGACAGGGGGTTGAGTGAAATAGGGAGTGACTTTGAGGGGTTTGATGATCTAGGCAACCCTGATGAGGATGAAGATGACAGTGATTGTGGGTATTTGGCTGCACCACCATCCCATAGGTATGACAAATCCAAAAAGAAAGAACTGGACATTGACAAAATTCATGCCTTTTACCCTGGACAGACTTTTGAGAACCAAACAACTTTCTGAAGGAGAACGAGCCTTCTGAAGTTGACAGAAAAACTGGTTATCCGAGAACAAGTGCGATTTGATGAACGAATTGTTGAACGATCAAAAACCCCTGAAATCTGATACCAATTTGATGTGGATTTAAACCCCTTAACTTAATAAAGAATCTAAAATCACACAAGTAACACAAACCCTTCGAATTTCGTTAGAAAATCGAACAACTTAAAGATAACAAACCGGATATGACTTTGAAAACGACCACTCCTGGAACGAATTCAACGCCTCTCAAATTACCTAGACCACTCCTGGAACTAAGTACTTTGATGAACAAAACTTAGACTACTCCTAGAACTAAGAATTGAACGTTCTAATTATCAAAACAACTCCTTGAATTGAAAACTAGCAAAAGAATTTGTAAGCAATTAAGCAAAACAAACAATTAACTTGAATTTTAATGATTTTCGAATGTTCTTTTAAAATCACGAAAATTACATTATTTATAGACTAAAACTAACTATTCCTAAGTCTATTCGAACTAGGAAAAAACCCTAGCCTTGATCCCCAAGTATCCTAGATAGAATAGGAGAACCAATTCTAATGGAACTAGGAAACTAGTAACAAGACTAGTTCTAATTAACCTAAAACTTCTTAAAACAATTCCTAATTGACTTAGAAATTATTTTAAAATAAAATAACAGAAATTAAGAAGATTCCTAATTGCTTAAACCAAGAAAAACCCTTTCAAGTGAAAGGTAAAAACTTGCAAGCAAAAACTCTAGAAAAAACTAAGTTAGGAAAATCTTTCTTTTCGTACTGCCGCCGAACCACCACCTCACGCGCCGCCATTATCAACACGCGCCCCACCGCCGTGTAGCTGGACTCAGGCCGGAGCTATGGAGCCGGCGCGTGGCACCCAGATCGGCGCGTCGCCGCCGCTGCCGTCGTCGGAACCCAACTGGTCCTTGACTTCTTCTTCAATGGCTGCGCATGTTAACCATTCTTGATTCTTTACTCCAAGCTCGAACCCTATTGGCCTTAAAACCAATATGATTGGCTCTTCAAAAGAATTTCCCTCTTGATCCACATCAACTTTCAAACAAGCTCTTAGGAACATGGACATTACATAGGGCAGAAATTTCAATTTCTTTAAGAATGATAAGGTTAGAGTGGGAGCAGTTTGTGACCACAAGGAAAAAGGGTGTCCATGGAGAATTTGGGCTTCCTGGGATACCAAAAAAACTAAGTTCAGTGTCAAATCACATGTAAGTGAGCATACTTGTGGAAGATCATGTAAGGTTAGGAAAATGACACCAACTTAGATTGCACATCATTACCACAATCAATTTAAAGTCAACCCATACATGAGGCTACATGACCTGATGGAGACAGTGTGGTTAGAGTGGGGAATCAGGATCAGCAAGTACTTGGCTTATAAGGCAAGGAGAAGAGGGAAGGCTCTTATTGTTGGGGAGTACAAGGAGCAATATACATTGCTCCCTAGGTATGCAGCTGAGATATTAAGAAGCAACAAGGGCAACACAGTGAAACTCAAGCTGAATGGGAATGTATTTGATAGGATTACATCTGTTTTGAGGCTTTGAGAAAAGGTTTTTTAGAGGGCTACAGACCTTTCATCTCTTTGGATGGTTGTTTCCTCAAGGGTCCTTTTAGGGGGCAGTTATTGGTAGCTGTTGGTAGGGATGGGAACAACCAGATGTTCCCATTAGCTTGGGTTGTTGTTGGTGTTGAGAGCACTGACACCTGGAGCTGGTTCCTGCACCTACTAGGCTCTGACTTAGGAACAAGTGAAGGGGCAGGCTACACTTTCATGTCAGATCAGCAGAAGGGGTTAATTGCAGCAATCCAAGAGGTTTTTCCTCAAGCTGAGAGCAGGGTATGTGCTAGACATGTTTACAGCAATTTCAGGGGGGTTTTTGGAGGCAGCCTGGAATTAAAAAAGCAATTTTGGATTATTGCCAAATCCACCACTGAGAATGCATTTCTTGAGAAGTTACAAGTGATGAGAGAGCTGTCACATGATGCTGCAGAGGATTTGTTGAACAGAAATTACAAAAAATGGTGTAGGGCTTTCTACACTCCAATGGCTTCATGTGACAGTGTAGACAACAACATGTCTGAAGTTTTCAATGCATACATACTTAAATGGAGGCACAAGCCTATCATCAGTATGCTAGAGGACATTAGAGAGAGCCTAATGGAAAGATTACACAAAAAGAGGGGCTTGATCAAAGCAAGGGATATGAGTTTATGCCCTAGGATTCAACAGCAGCTTGAGAAACACAAGGTCTGGGCTAGGGGCTGGAATGCATTTTGGGATGGTGGTTTCTGCTATGGAGTTAGGGATGGGGCTACCCAAACCAAGTATGTTGTGAACTTGGTGGACAGAACATGCTCATGTAATGCATGGCAGGTGAGTGGCATTCCCTGCAAACAGGGGTGGTTGCCATTTGGAATAAAGTGGAGCAACCAGAGCAGTATGTCAATGACTACTTCAAGACACACTACCATGCAAAAGCCTATGACCACCAACTTGAGCCATTAAATGGTCCACAAGAATGGCCTGTTGGTACCTGTACTATCACCCCTCCTGAGCTGAAAAAGGTGCACAATAGGCCAAAAACCAAGAGAAGACCTTTTGCTGGTGAGGTGATTATACAGGGGAAGGTTAGGAAGACTGGGGCTAGGATCACTTGCAGCTTGTGTGGGTTGCAGGGGCACAACAAGGTCACATGCAGAAATGCACCAAGGGAAAGGCACACAGCTCCAAACACATCTAGTCAAGCCCAAACTGACCCTGCCCCTTCAATTCCTATGCACAACAGAGGGGTTGGTGTGTACACCTACCCTAATGGCTTCCAAAGACAAGCAATTGTAAGTTTTCCATCTATTATCAAATTTACTTGTTATTTTATAACTCTCAGTGGGATACTCTTTTTACTCTTTCAATGGTTGCAGCCAATTACTACACAAATGCCTAGACAGTCCAGAGGTGCTGCATTTTACTCTGATAATGAAGGGCAGCAGACTGTATATTCATTCTCTCAGGAGTATACCTTCCCCCAATCACAACCAGAGGCAGCATTACAAACTATATCATCACAAGCACTACAAGATTTGGCAAAAGGAAAAGCAAAAGCAAATTAGAGAGCAAAACAAATGAGGTACTACATTCTTTCACTTTATTCATAACATCAGTGCATACTCTTACATTCCACCATTACTTAGTCAAATACATTTAGTTTGCCATGTTCCTAAGGACAAACCAGGCAATTACACAAGTTGCAAATGCAAAAAAAAAACCCACACTTCACACTTAACACATACAGACAGCCTAGGTTTTTTCATTTTTAGCATTACAATCTCTGATGTCACCTAATTAACAGATTGTTAGTTTCTCGTAAATTCTACATATTGTACAAAAATTACAAACATTTACAATTCATGTTCACAGGTACCTAGGACTGAGATTTTGATGCAGTGCAAGCTTCTTCGTGGTCAATATTTTTTTTTGGATGTTCAAGAGCTGTTGTTTGTTCATGGAACTCGAAGATTTATAGCCTTCATTTCTGATAACGGCTAGTTTATTAATTCAGAAAAAAAAAATTCGATATTACCTTTTTTTTTTTTTTGGAAAGAACAATATTAGCTTTTTTTTTATTGAAATATTAATAGGGTTGAAGTCCCTCAACTTTTTTCCATGTCAAAGTTCCTAAACTTTTTGGTGACTCAACATCCCTCAACTTTTTTGATGAGTCAAGGTCCCTCAACTTTTGCTTAGTCAGCAAAGTCCCTCAACTTTTGGCTGAAAAACACTAAAGTGGGTGGTTGAGGGACTAAATTGGGGAAAAAAGTTAAAGAGGGACTAAAACGGCTTTTATACGAAACTTCAGGGACTGTATTTATGCTTTACTCAGTGTTCATTGTTGGTACGCCTTGACAACTGAAAAAATTAATGCAGTATAGTAGACTACTCAACCTCCAGTGTTCATTGTTGGTACGCCTTGACAACCAAAGAAACAAACGTACGCTTCTAAACTTAATGTATTTTGAGGTTCCAAAATCAAAGCAATAGCTATAACAACAATAGTAGCCAACACCCCAAGCTTAAAGTATACAAAGTAGAGTCCAAACCCGACTCACTTACCCGAATTGACTTCTCTCTTGACCAACTTCTTATATTCTCCTAAGTCCTAACCTTTCATAAACAATCAAATCTGGGTTTGCCCATACCTTTAGTTGGTGTTTTTGCGTAAAGATAACAATTGTTGTTGGTTTTAGATAATTAAGGATTTGTAATTGGTGGAAATTTGGGTGCTTGATTGGTGCATTGTTTGTTGGTGGTGGCGAATTTGTGTTGGAACTTACATTGAGTTGTAATTTGTGAATGTCTAAGCAATGAAACCGAAAGAAAAGCCCAAAATAAATGCTTCTTTTGTTCCTTATCCGACCAACCCAAAGTTTAAGTCCTTCTACACAAACTCCCATTACTCCATTAGTATACTACGAGTGCGTATCATCCACGACACAATGGTTTCGGCCTAAGTAAAATTGCACCAGTAAAATTGCGCCAACAGAATTACAAAGGGGTGAATCATGATTTTAAATTATCTTCACCAATAATGTAAAAAGAAAGTAAATCCTTGGAATAACAAAATGCAAATATGTATGACAAGTATTATCGTCCTAATTTAAATTGTCATATTACTAACTCAAATTACATATTCAACGAGACTATTAATCCTATCTGAATAAGTTGTTATTCTATAGATTACAGATTACTAAGGGTCTGTTCTCATTGACTGAACTAAGCTGAACTGAACTGAATTGAACTAAATTTCAACGTAAGAGAACAAATCACATAATCAATCGGACTATTAATCATAGACTCCAAAGTCATGCATAAAAAGAGTACGAGTAGTTTTTTTTTTATTATTATTTATTAAAATAATAACATAAAAAAATATTAGAAAGCTCAATAGATTTTCTACCCAAATTCATTGAAAATCACAGTTACGAGTTATACCTTCTCATGTTCCCAATTCACTACATGAAACGTCATTTATTTGTCATTATGTTGTTACTTATTAAGTTGTTAGAGGTTAAAATTGGTCTTCAACCATAGTTCGGGTTGGGTCGGGCTTCGTGACCCAGTCCTAGCCGCTTCGTTTTTCTACATTAAAATTTAAAATTAGCAATTTCTTCGTAGTTATTCTACAAAATTATAAACATTATAAACAGAGATTTAATCAAACAGCTCTCGTAGCTCAGTTGGTTAGAGCACCCGTTTAGTAAGCGGGAGGTCTTGAGTTCGACTCTCAACGAGAGCATTTTTTTTATGTGTGTTTTTTTTTTTAATTTTTTTTTTAATTTTCCCCTCCTTTACAACTTTTGTATCTAATGTAACACACTAACACTAACCATACACTGGGCAAAATTTAAACGGAATACATCTTTTTATTATCGGGTTATGTATCATGAAATGTGAAACAAAAAAGGTTATTTCGTTTGTATTTTGCATGATAATTGGTTTGGACAATGGTTTAAATTTCACCATCTGGCCCTTACAATCTGTTGAACCCACAAATAATGTTGTTTGGATCATATAAACAGGACAAGATTGATTTTCCAAGAGATAACCATTTTACCTCAGTAGAAGCTAATGAAAGAAAACCTAGGCACAGTTTAGTCAACTTTTGTGGGGTGACTCTCATATAACTCCATTTTTATTCATTGCATAAGATACTGTTTAAACATTATTGAATTAAATAATCTATTTTTCCTTTTCTTTTGGAATAATCCACCAAACTATTGAAGATTAATACTCATACTAGTATTAGTCACATACCGCCCCGTGTCTAGAAATTTATGGGCCCTAGGCATAATGTAAGAAAAAAGGCCCTTAAGTATGTAAACAAAATTTTTAATACGCAATAGTTTTAAATGTAAGACAATGAAAATAACTTATATTATTTGAATAGTAAGTTTCCGTACACAATACTAGAGTAATAACTCTGCATAATGTTTCGTTTATTGAATAATATGAAAGGGTGTAATTGAAATGATTAATATTTTGGAGCAAATACTCATAGAATCCAGAAGACTAGAAGAAGTGATGAGGTTATATTGCATTGTTATCTCCACCTAATTGACATCCAAGTAATTTAATGTTAATTGCAAACTAAATGCAGTAATTATCTTTTTAAAAAGTAGCTTTAGGGCCTGTTCTCATTGACTAAACTGAACTGAATATATATATATATATTTCGCTATTTCGGAACTAAGACTTTTTTTGTTGTTGTTGTAGAAAAAACTATGCACATGGGACTGCAAGTAGTGTTGACGAGAGATGAAACAAGTATAAAACATTGACAAGTGAATTCTTATCAAATAAGATAATGGAGCAATCTTTAGATAATCCTTATGAAGAAATTCGAGGCAAATTAAACTAAAAGAGATCAAGACAGTAATTTTTTTTTATTATTATTATTTTATAGTGTTTAGAGAGCCACAATGACTGATGATGATCATGAGAATCGATCCCAATATTTCATGAGACTGTGAGAGAAACTCTAACCACTTTATCTATCCCTCACATTCAATATTTAATTAAGAAGCAAAACATGCTTCCAAAAACATCACAATCATAGAAGGGATAATGGAAGTAGAAATTGGTTAGACTGTCCACTAATAAGCTAATGTTTAAAAAAAGGGTCGGGTCATGGGTGGGGCCCAATGGACGAAATTCGTCAATGATGAAAATTCGTCTCTATCTTTCATGAGTTGTTAGAATTAAATTTCACTTTACAATTAATTAAAAGATGTGATCACATGAATCTATAGTTGTAATTTGAAATGTATATCATGCTATTTTCCCTCACATGCAGGGTTCTTCATGATAGTTATGGATTTATTACTAACATTATTTTGTGGTTTGGTTTGTTGTTCTGTGCTGAGGCAATTCCACATGCTCATAATTCATTCATATTAATCATATGTTATTATTCACTACATTATTATTTATTCTTTGGTTCTATATACGTATGGTAGTTTATATATATATAGGCACATAAATGATACGAGTACGTATTGAATAGAGAGTAGCCAGGAATAGTTGAGATATGATGTATTGCATATGAACCGGTTGTTAATAAATAATGCAACACTTGCATGTAAGAAGTGTATAAATTTTGGATGGTAATTTAAAGAGTTTAGCTCAATCAAGGCCCTATCACAAGAAGATTTCCAATAAAATTTCGAAGACCAAACCGTGGAGATTCAATAAATTACAATGTGAGCTAAACAATTTGTTTATGGAATCGATTATGAGCATCGAATCCAAGTCTGATACCAATTTTGTCAAATGCAATTATTAGAAACTGGATGGGTGAAATTGATTCAAGTTTTGGTTCCTAATTCAAATCCAATTAGGACTAAATCTAGTATTTTAATGCAAAATCAAAACTAATATCGACTTATTTTAGTTCTAGTTCTAGTTCTCTTTTTAGGAATTGATTTTTATTTCATCTAATTTAAGGAATCGAATAATCGATTATGAGTGAGCTCTAGTTTATCTTTGTGATAAATAAAAATCGTTTATCTAGTGATATTTTTGTAATAAACTAACAAACATCCTAGATTCCTAGTCACAGTAGTCAATATGACATTTTCGTAAATAAACCAACATTTATAGGACCCGCATTTAATGAAATTTGTTGACATATTTATAAAAATGCCACTAAACAAACACTTTTTTTTTGTTTATCACAAAGATAAATTTGTACTTTTTCATCGATTACAACTACTACCTCCGTTACAGGTTATGAGCAACGATTTGACATAAAGTAGAGAGAAAAAAAATGTCTAATCGTTGCATATAACCTGTAACGGAGATAGTAGTATGAAATTCAAAATCCAATATACTGCACATTACTCACCCCTACGGTGCGCGCACCTACCCACCCCCTCGGCTCCCTTTCCCATCAAGCTGACAATCGAATGTTAATGAGAGTTAGTAAATTAACACTCAAACTAAGCTAGCTTTATTTAGTCACTAATTCTATATTATATCTTCTTCTCCTTCTTCTTCTTTTTTTTTAATCATATTTTTTTATCCCTCTTATAAAAGGTCAATAACTTTTCTAAAT